CTGTCCATTTTCCATAGTTCCAAATTTATTCTCTAAAACAATAATGGCCATTCAAGGTTCATGTAGACAAACTCCACAGTTCATTATCATCTACGAAATACTTCGATGGACCGACTGGAGGAGGCAATCTTCAAATGATACTTTGAAATTTGGACCAATTCTGTCCCATCTAGCGCGTCTTTTCTTCCCCTTACACAAAGTCTGTGCGTAGTTTCTCTCACAAAATACAGAAAAAATCATAATGTGAAGTGAAAGTATCTTATTATGAGATCCAAAACTTGCTCATTGTTGAACAACTTCTAGAACAAAAGCACTGTACTTTTCTTTCATAAGGCATATCAACTATATGCAACGTGAAAGCCGACCTCCTCAACTATGAAGAGTTTGCGTATATTGTGTCTCTTTCTATTCACCTTCTCTGCATCAAAGATACGAGTTGAGATGATAACACAAGAACATGGCTCTAAAAATGGAGCAAACCTGAGAAAGCCACAAAGTAAACACGCCACTTTATAAAAGCAATATATGAAAATGTGTCGCACACACTTTAGGTATATATGATGGATAAACAGGAAGGAATGTAGCATTCCATCATCCTCTACAACTAACTCTGTAAAGGCACATTCCTTAAGCGTGTCAAAACTTGTCGATTGATTTCATGACAAAAGCTTTCATTCATAAACTTCTCCATCATCTTTCTGCCATTCTCTCCAACTTGACGACAGAACTTTTCATTGTCTTTGCAAAACTGGAGCTTCGCAACCACATCCGAACCATTGAGATAGAGTGGAATGAAATGTTGCCAAGGTCTCAAGCTACGGAAGTATACACTTTCGACAGAAAAAGGATATGGATGGAAGGGACACGACCAGGAATATAGCGCTTGTGGAAAGTTGCTACTCAAATCATTTCCTTCTATATTTAAAACATATTTGTATTGAAAAATGCCTTCCTGAGGTACAGGTTCTTTCCAAAGATGACCATATTTCTCTTCCTTATCAAACAGTGCAATAAATCCAACATCAACATCCGAACGATTCAATGACTGCAACAACTCAACTATTTTCCTTCTATTGGACTTTCCTGGCACTTCTTCTTCATCCAAAATAGGGCCTGTCGCACTACCTCTCCAAAACAAAATATCTTTCTTCTCATTCCAAGGTATCGTATCATTACGAAACCAATCTGGAAAGTGATAATAGCGTCGAGGCCATAGAACCCCATTTGGAGACTGATATTTCCTCGCATGCCTAAGGAAACAGGAATCTTCCAATACGTTATCTTCAATATTTGTATAGTTTGAAACTCTCTCAAAGTCTTCGCCATATAGTTCACTAAACAATCTTATTTCTTCTACCAAGTGTTTGTGGCCTGTTATTGGCCACTTCCGAAGTTCAATACAAGTTCCTACACGAAAATCTACTTCCTTGTATAGGTCGTCATCTTGCTGCTTCGTTAAAGAATTTCGATGGACTGACAACTCGTACAAAGTAGTAACCAGAGTTCCAATAGTGGATAAAAAGATAACAAAAGCTAGGTATTTGAGCATAACGCTTGTTTTATAGGGCATGGCAATTTTTGAATTTTTGTCGCCAGCAATTTTTAGAATTTTGGAATGATGGTGAGATAGGCGTAATGATGAATCGTCGCGACAGTGAATATCTCTTCGAGTCTTCTAAAGTTGTCAAAATTCTAAATAGATACTCAATCTTATGACTCTTAATTTACCAAACAAGAGTCAGTTTCAGATTTGTAATCTTTCTTAATGAAGCAGATAATTTTTGTTCTCCTTTTGGAGGGTTGAATGTTTCCACCCTAGAACTAGCACAACTTTTATGAAATGGCATTTTTATGCTTTCCTTCAAGCAGTTTTGAAATTGCTGCCTCAAAGACATCAAACAAACTTTTTACTAAAATTTTACTTGTCATGTAAAGACCAGTGCTCTCGACTTGTCACGGTGCATAACACCCAAGAAGACTCAATGCATATTTTCTTAGATTTGTACAGGAACTCTTCTCGGGAACTAGCGACATCTTCGGCTATTTTGGAAAGTATTGCTATAATTCTTCGGATTCTATAGAAAATAGTAAATTTTTGAAGAGTAAATGTTCTTGAATTAACGGAAAAGAAAATCTAGGAATGTTTCCCTCGTGTTGTTGTATGTAAACGGAAGCAGCACAACGCAGAATGCAGTTTCTATAGAGAGTATCCATAATACTCAAGCAAAAAACATGTTAGGTTCATGCTTTTGTTTTCAATAAATAGAGACTTCTATTATTTCTACTGGCAAATACTACAGAGACAAACATGAAACAACTAGGCTTTTCAGATACCCTTCATATCTATTGATCGCATTCTATCATTTATTAACAATAGTATTATGGGAGTGCAGAGTAACGACTGCATCCGATCAACCTACTTCTGCCATGTATCGGGCAAATATGACACGGAATGTTTCACTTTCAAGTCTCAGTTGAGTTTGGTGACTCGTACCTACCTTTAGGGAAGTGTTCCTCCTTGTCGATACAGTTCTTCAGGTTAGTCAACCGCTTGCCTCCAGTCAATCTTTGCCTCGAAACGTTTTAATTTTCAAGTCAGGAAGCTTCAAAGCGAATAAACGTCCAAAAGTTACATATACTCGACACCTTTTTGACTAAAAAGAGTTTGGAAACAACAATCAAAACGGTCGAATTTGGAAGAACAGTGTTCGACTATAAAATATGGCTTTGAAACGACCAAGGCGAAAACTAAATAAAAAACGCTGTCAATTCCCAAAAGGCATTACAGAAGATATCGTGTTAGTTTTCTAATTTCTTAAGAGGGTAACCACGCTACTTCCCCAGTCTAAATATGTACCAAGTTAGGTGCATAAATTCATGCTCTTCAGAAATAAGATGTTCTTTTCTGAGAAAAGTCCTAAATAGGAATGCATCATCACTCTTCTCTTCAATGATACTAATAATGAAGCCATGAGCAACAATTGCGAGGATCAAACCCCCAATCTCGTATTGATAGAATGTCTCATAAATTCCTAAATGAAAAGGAATTCCAGAAGGCGAAAATTCTAAAAGAATCAAACTGAAGCAAAATTATCCCGAGACTCATCGCTTCTTATACTGTCAAAGCTGTTCTTACGAAATCATCACTTTCCAAAAGTTCTTGCGTACTGGAGGCTAGTTCTGGATAAATTTGACAGAAGAAAAATGGCCACTTCTAACAACAGCTTTTTTTGAAAATGAGTTTTAGCTGTGATAGTGTCTCGTGTATGAGATTACGCTTCCGTCAAAACATTGATATTATCCACGAAAGTAAAGTCACTTCAATCAATCTTTTTAGGAGCAAAACCAGAAATGGCCGACGAAATAAACAAAGCCAATGCTTGATTTTTTTAGGATTCTTCCTTGTCGATATTCAAAAAGTCTAACTTCTAGTCATGACCTCTTTTCTTAGCAAATCTGACACATATGAATGATCTTGGCATATTCCTTTCTCGCCATATGAATATCAACTCCTGAAAATTCAAATGAAAATGGAAGGATTATGACTCAAGCCTCTCCAAAGATGAGCTCTGCAAAACTTGAGAACATACGGAAACACTCCGACAGACAGTACCGTTTCCACCGCCCAATCTACCAACTTTAGGAATCTGGCTATAAAAATAAGAGCTCTTTTACAGTAATTCTAACTCAATAGAACTTGTAAAGAAATACATAGGTAATTGTTCAGGTAAGGTGGACTTTTCAGTTTCTATCATAAACCATATGCAGACGACTGCATATTGTCAAGTAAAATATAAAGAACCCTTCGGATACAACGTACTTGGTGTTTAAAAAATGGAACGGATTTATAGGAAGCGGAAGTATTCATTCTTTCTCCAACAATAAAATTTCTATTGAAGTCTCTAATACAATTTTCAATTTAGAAGATCATTTTCTCGGATCCTTTCTTTTTTCATTAGTCGACAATGACGATGGCAGCTGAGCCAAACAGAGTGGATAAATGGACGCACATTTGAAGTGTTCAGTATAGAGACTTAAGGATATCTTTGGCTAACCAAAAATTTCTAAAAAGAGAAGCAACAGCAAGTCTTGAGGAAACAGTTTAGGAAACAGTGTCCTTGGAATACAATTCTCTGCAATACAATTTGTTACAGCAGAGAAAACCCTCGAAGATATCTTAGTCTCCGATAGATAAATAAAAAACTGCTTATCAAATAAGTTCTCCAAGCCTTGTCTTTTTGTAACTCAACTTTCCTAGAATTCGATCCAACATCTCTAATCGAACCCCAGATAGTAGGGATCGAAGTAGGAACCAGCGACAAGCCAACTGAGTAAGAGATATTAAACAAGAAGTGAAAATATCTGCCCAAAATAAGGACCGGTTGGCAAAGTCTCTTTCGCTCCGCAAGACGCGAATAGAATACTCTCTTGAAAAGACTTGAGCTCCCTTTTCCAAGCATTCTTGTCGCTTGCAGAGTTACTCTCTTCTACTTGATCCGAATATGTGTCCGATATTGACGCAAGTTTGTCTCTTCTTTCAGCAAAATCAAGAAAGGTTGAAACTATCAAAACTGTATTAGAGCAATCGAAAACCAATGCGGATGAAGTTCCAAGCCAGCTTTCAAATGAGAGTTGCACAGAGTGTGTGTGATTCTCGCTGAATAATGAAATATTATTATTGAGTTCGTCTCTGGAATCAACGAGAACTAGTTTCCATCGTTACCTTACCAGCTGGGGGGGGGGGGGGGGTGCTTTTGAACTAATGGACGTTATAATGAAATAGAATTCTTTCATCTTTTGCATCACTTCGAAGTTGCACGCAAAGCTTATGTACGTCATCCAAAGTTGGTTCTGTAATAAGATGATATCGGACCCTGCCTGCCATCTTTCATATTGACCTTGCAACGCAGCGTAACTGCTTCAAATGGTCCATGTGATACTATTTTGGTTGGATCTACCCAACATTATAGTGTTGCACAAGGATGAGACTATTCTTCCTCATACTGAATCATACAGAAGGATTGAATATGTTGATATCCGAAGATTTCAAGTAAGATTATTTCAAAGGTAAAATTATAAAGTGATAAATGGAAATGATATAGCAGCATGCGTTGGCCGTCAGCTTTCTTCGGGAGAGCACACTATACCTCCTATAGTTTTTAATCCTTGCATGAGCAGAAAAAGCCCTCAAAGTCGCTGACCCTTCTTGAAATACGTCACAGACATTTCGAAAAACTTTTGCACAAGGAGAAGATATCGATTTCAAACCACAATCTGACTTCAACTCTATATTACAAGAAGAGATAGAATCTGGATTAAACAAAATATAGTTTATTATAAGAGGGTTGAAAAACTTCGACTTCAAAAAATATTTAAATACTACCTATACTCAAAGTTAGAATTTCCAATAACGTTGTAAGAATGCATTTACTCGTGAAACGAAGAAGCTGACTACATGCACCAAAAGGCAAATCTGGAACACTGCCAAAAACTTTTGCCAGCTTCGCACAATGGAGGGGATGAAAAGATAACCACATTCTGTGGATACTTCGTCATCATCATAGAAGCAGCATTGTTAGAAAAGGTGCTGATAAAATTACCAAAAAGAACTCTTGCTTCAGAAAGTACAAATAGATCCACATACTTTGCAGGAATCTTTAACTCGGATGAGAAGTTTCCCAGTGAAATTACCTCCCTTTCGAAAAATCCATTATCGACTGTTGGTGCTTGTCCATCAGAAGCAATAAACAAGGGCATCTGATTCAACTGCAAGTCTGAAACAATCTTCGAAACTGTAGAAACATTCCATGGACAAGAAGCATTCACTCTTTCTCCGATCCATTTCGGGTAGTTTGCAATAAACAAATGGCAATCTAGGTCTAGGTTTCTTAAATGAACGGCGACAAAATTACGTTTAGTAAGACCTAAGTCTCGTAAAACAAATTCCATGAAGCTTAAATGTTTCTCATTCCAACGTAATAGTGAAAAAGCTAGCTGCTTCTGCGCTGGTGACAGACAAACATATTAAATTTCCTCCGCAGTGACTTGCAAATGATTCCCGCTATTGATATAGAGAGCTAGAACAGCAGGATCTTCCAATAAAATGCCCCGTAGTTTGTCGATCTTTGTAGTTCCATTCGTTTGAATATCTTCCTTTGACTGTTCTACAAACATTCCATATTGTTCGAAAAGAGAAAAATCGAAAAAGTCAAACATCTCGTTCTTGGAACAAACGACTTTCCGATTAATTAAACCACCAACGAATAGTGCATTAATGATGAGAAGTAGATTGTTGTTAAGTTGTCCATACCAGCCGGTGACAAAGAGAGTCTTAACTGGCTTTGTAATAGTGACGTTTGCTTTTCCTTCTCGTTTCCGAGAATAAAGAAATACCAGAAAAACAACCGTAACTGCTAGAAAAAGAACGCTTTGTCCTCGAAATCTTCGTATCTTTGACAACATGGTTTCAATAACAGAACTTTTCCGTGCTATACCAAAGCTTGGAAAACTTTCGCCGAAACAGCCTCAAAGAGAATGTCCGTGGCGTCAAATTAAAATAGCGTTCATTTTGCTTCGATTTTCTCGAATTTTAAGTTGTTTCAACCCGCTATCATGAAAAAACCAAGTGTTGGTTTGTTGACTTTCCTATTGTTGGCAACGACAGTTTTTATTTTCTGTCGAAATTACGGCAAAGAAAGCCAACATCAGCAAGAAAATATTAACGTGAAGCCTTCCATCGCTATAATTGTCCCTATTCGGAATAGACCTACTGAGGAGAAGTTCATACGGATATATTTCTCACGATACCTCAGCCAGTTCCAAAACGCATCGTATGAAATATTCTTTGCCGAGCAAGCGGATGACTATTTATTTAAAAAAGGTTTGCTCTTTAACGCTGCTTTTTTGTCTTTGATAGACCGTTCTTTTGACTGCTATTGTTTACAAGACGCAGATACAGTACCAATGACTCATAACTTTCTTTACCGATGCCCTAAGAGTACAGTTCCGTACCACCTTACTTTACCGAACTTGCATCCTCACGTTCACTATGAAGGCAGCGGAGCAGGCAACATTGTCTTTACTGCTATGCAGTTGAAGCTCATTAATGGCTATGGAAGTGCCTTTTGGGGTTGGGGCAGAGAAGACGACAATATGGTGAAACGTTTCAAAGCACTAAATTTGTGGCCATTTGAAGTGCCTGAGGATACTCACGAACGCTGTTTTCCATAGACTGTTCTCCTCAAAGGACAGAAAGTCAAGCTCCTGAAGACATGAAATACCTTTTATTAGAAGATCTTGGATTTTACGGATTGAACACGTCAAGATTTGAGAAGGTTTCCTGTGACAAATTAGACGATGATCCATTGCCTATCTGGAAGATGGCTTTTAAACTGGAATGTGATATGGATTTGACTCCATGGTGTAAACAGTGACTTTCTGAAATAAAACATGTTTCGAATCGCAATATTTGCTTTGGTAACTAAACTGTCTCAACGGCTTCGGCTGCGTAGAAATCGCCAAACTTTCATCAGAGTAGCTGCCAAGTAACTCATTTCATTTCCGGTCAGTAAATGTTTTGTTTAGTCTACCAAGGGAGAGTTACATCGTGTCTCGTATATCTTTTGACACAGTAAAATGCAGCTGTAATCATATTATCAAGATAGCTTCCTGGTTTTCACGAATGCTTATGATAAATCAACTCTTTCAGAAACTAAGAAATTTAATACTTGTCAAAAGACGAGTATGTATACAACAATTGGAAATGCATTTTAGAATACAACTAATAAACTGCCGCCTTCTCAAGATAAAGGTTGCTTCATTGAAAACCTAGCTCTAATGGGGACTTCTGCAATGGAAAATATATCCACCATCTATTCAAAGGAAGCTTAACGTTGCAGCTACATTTCTTCAAGTGTTCAAAAAAAGAAATCCTCTCCAGTCCGGCCGTAAAAATAAAGAGTGCTACTTTCAACGAAACATTCGGTGGAATCCACACACATTTTCAGAGTACTCAAAAATCTCTGAGAAGAAATCACGGAAAATGAACTATTAACGCAAGTATGTCCCAGTGTTTCAAAAATATATTCATTATTGCGGCCTCCAGTTTGCTTAAATTAAATACGTTGTGTTTTCGTAGAGCTACAAATATTCTCTTTTGTGAAGCAAACTTCTTGATTCGCGAGTTTGCAAGCAGAAGGAAAAGAGTTGCCAACAAAAGGAGTTTGAGTAAAGAAGGACAGCTAGTCTAAAGGTACAGCACAAGCGAAGTTGGATGCGGCAGTTATAGTTTTCTTCAAACTCCAACAAAGGAGCAAGAGCTTATCGAAATACTTCGGAACTACTCTTATGCCATTCAGTCTATGGTGAGTTGAAACCGATGTTTTCTTGAAGAGTCCTGATTTGTTCTTCGTTTCATACCAAATATCTTTACGACTTCACACAATTTGCTCGTTCAGAAGGCAATGAATGGCTATTCGCGAGTGTAGTTTTCGCGGAAAGCTTCAAGGCTTGTGATTGGATAGCTAGTGAAAGATAGAGAGTTCGAATATCGTTTCGGGCACATTTCCGTGAGTTTTAAAAGAATGAGTTGATACCATATTGTCTATTTCAGCTCAACACTTGCTTCGGTCTGGGACAAAATACTCGATATTGGATAAACACTTCCTTCTGACCAGTCTTTATTTTAGTAACGCTATCTAAAAGAATTTTGTGAGAGCATCTGGTCAGAAATTCTTTCTCACTAACCTGTTGGAAACGATTGGGAACTGTGTAAGTTAAAACATTTAAATGAGCAGAGATTTCAACTAAGTGAAGGTCTGTTGCACAAGGGCTTACAGCCAAAAGCTCTCTTCCATAGTCAGCACTGACAAAGTCACTTTTCAAAGTTCTCACGAGTCAAGTTGAATATATGGAGCCTAGAAATTGACTTGGGAAGTGAAAACAGAAGACCTGAATTTGTGTCCGCTTGGCCACTCCAATGTTACTTCTTTTGGCCGTTTTTAAGGTTACGCGGCAGTGTTTACAAAACGAAGAATAGAATCGCCTTATTGACAGTTAACAGAAGTAGATAACTTCTCATCAGCAATGCAGGATAGAGACCTGCAAATGGACAGCAAGTAGCTGTCCTTACCGCAATGGATAGGATGATAGCGTATATTGTAAATTTCTTGAGTGACAACAAGTTTCATATTCGAAAACAAAGGTGCAAGTGTAGAAGAACGTCTTATTTTATTCAGTAATGAACCATCTCCGTGAAAGACGCTTCGTCAATAAGTTCACTTCAATAGACAAGCATGAGATACGTTGTTGTGGCGTTGCATTCAATTAGAAATATTTGTAAAACGACCAAAATTTCTCCTACTGCAGAGTATTGTACTCATAAGTAATGGCAAATGGCGCAACATAATCTCATAACACGTACTGCAGTAAAACTACCGAAATACGTTCGAACTCTTCAAAGAATAAGAAGTTTCAAATGATTGTAAATCTTCTGGCTGTCACCAAAACTTTTTTAGCAAAACATTCTATCCTTTCAACTTTATTCTGAGCAAAGCACCAAACCAGACGAGTGTCCGGCAACATATACAAATATTGTTCCTTCGTATAGAGACTTTTTTGTAAATAATTTTGAAGCCGTTTAATAGTTTGTTTACGCAAGTTACGAAAATGAACAGTCTACTTTTTTAAGTAGGCGAAAGCGAATTCTGACAAATTGAATGACATTTTGACGTAAGACAACCCTACACAAAAATTCGAAAGAATAGAATTCCACTATAGTTCGATTTTCTAATCAATGTATTCGTGAAAATCAACAAGTTCATCTGCGACCAGAACTCGTCCATTCCACCATTGGCTTCTTTTTGACGGTTAATTATTCAGGTGCACGGCTTATCCGTACAAGGAAGACTTATCTGAGTTCTTCGTGTGAAGATAAAATAAGCTGCATCACTCAAAACAATTTTAACTTCTTGACTGTGCAAACAACAGCAATTAGATGAAATGCATAAACGCCAACGTTGCTCCAGTTGGAGCTTTTCACCACTTCGCCTCTCCACCTCGGGACCCCAGGTGAATATTAGTATTACAGCTGTTAAGCTATTTAACCAATGGCTGCTAACTTTCAAGCTTCGCTGTTTAAAAGTTCTAGATGTTTCGACAAGTTGTGCTAAATTCTTTCAGTGAGCTTCAATCGCACCAACTAGACTGACACGCCAACTGCACGAAAATTTACCTATAGTATTTTCCTGATCTCCTTCAGCTCAAGTTCAACAGTCCAAAACTGAAGGGGAAAGGCCAACTTTGACAAAGTTTGAGATAAAAAGTTCTCTCACAACCTTTCACAACATAAGCTGGCCGTTAATTCTTTGGAACCCTCTTCCAAAAATTAGCTGAAATCAGACTAAGTGATTGTCATGGCGGTGCTCAGTAAAAACCCTTCTTATGATCGCAGTGCTGTTACAGTTCTTAAAACGCCTAAATATTGATGTCGGAATCATGAGACCGTTGTTAATTCCAAAAATGATACTACCTTTCATTGGATAAACTGTGCTTTGGACAGGATTGTTTGAATAAATGACTATTTTAAGTATAAGTGTCGTTTCTAGTTGAGTTTCACATGCCCCGTTTCTCTTGGTCTTGCTTTTTTACACTTATCCATTTGTACAGTCCAAAGTGTTTTCCTTTGAAGCGATTCATTCCTCTTCAGCCACATGCTTCGATTTCTGTTGAAAAACTCTTGCAGGGAGCTTGGAAGAAGGTTTACTTTTCCATAAGCTTCCTTTATTTTTCTCTTATGAAGAACGAATATTTCTTCTGTAAAAATAATTGGGTTGTATTTCTTCCAAACATTAGACCTATTGGTAATTCTGCCGAATAACTTTCAATTAATAGTGTTAGTTGTTTCAAATATCACTGGATTATTCTCTATTTGCATAGAACACATCTGTTCTTATCTAATTAGGAGATAGAATAAAAATGGATACGAATCGATCTCTTAGAATCAGTTTGCTCAAGATTAGTGCAATTATGTTGAATCGACTGCAAATTTGTGTTGAATAAAAAGCACAGTTCGAGCATTGAGGCAACATGGTTGGTACTTTATCATGCCATTGTACTGAATATCAAGCTCAAATTTTGTTTTCGTTCTGTTAAGAGGACCGTAGTCTATTGTGGCTGCTTTTCTATGGGATGTAAATTGAAAGAGATCAAAAATTTCCAATATTATTCAATATTTTTATGAATGATATCTTTGAAGTACCAAACACATGTTCGCTGTATTCATCTTCATTATCATGAACATCCATCCTTCCCTTACCTTACCAAGCATCTCAGTTAGTGAACTTTTTTTTATCCGGTAGATCACCTGAATTGATGTTTGCAGATGACAACGTTTTGCTGACAACAAATCAAGGCCACTCTATTCATTTGTTGAAGTATCTCGAAGATTTTTTTGATTTATTGGATATGCGGATTATTTCTCATAAATGTTGAGTCATGGCTATATGTGGCGATACGAGTCAGTTGGAAAAGTATACTTGGTAACTGAAAAGGAGACATTACCTACTGTTTCAGAATACAAATATTTTGGAGCACTTCCTTTTAGAAGATTTAGTTCCTTATAGCAGCGTAAAGAAGATGACGAATAAGAACCTCAACCGCACCCATCCGCTTCTCAGCAATGTAAGTCATGGTTAGAGATTCGTATATCACTGTCTACTTATAATCAAAGGTTTTATTTTACCATTGAAACTATAAAGAAAGAGGGAAAAGATCTGGCATGCATTATGCACCCGTTGAGCATTGACCAACTCAATCACATGCCAAGGCATTTCGTAGACCACCGTTCTACGTCCACTGGAGCTGGTGCTATCTTCGTAATTGAAGCATTTGGTTTGACTAGTGTTTGACTCATTTATTGCATGGCATCGCGCTAGCCTATTTCTCAATGTTCCAAATATGCATGCTTTAATTCATTGGTTAAGCCAAAATCATCCTTTTCAATGAGAATCAGATTATGTCGGGTACGGGTAGTCTTATATGGCCAATAAGGCATAATACTCTAAAATGATTGGTGGAAACATACCAGAGATTATGAATAAGCCGCTTGGAGCAAAAAGATGACTCCACAGTGCATCCACAAAAAGTGTTGCTTCGAGGATGGTTTCATATCCGAGACATTGCAGTAATGGATTAAGTTCGTTATGCCTACTTAGTTGACAGGATAAAGGGTATGCTGTGGCTTCTGGCTACAAAATATACCCTCTTGAAGTTGAGGATGTACTACAAAATTACGTGCTGTTCGTATGGCTGCAGTGTGTTGGCATACCTGACAAATATAGAGTAGAAGCTTTGAATGCTTACGTTGCTTTGAAACACGGTTTGGAATTGACTTCCACACAATTGATAGGATTCTGTAAGAAGAGACTTGCAGCTTTCAAATTTCGAAGACAAATGGCAATTATTGATGAGGTACCGAAAAATGCAAGTGGTAAATCTTTTCGACGAGAACCTTGTACAGTTGAACAAAAGAAACATGTAAATAGAAATGGACGACTATTGAGAGCAAGTATACCCAATAGAACTTAAACTATTTTTTTCTTCGATTAAAATAATTTCAAATTGATCAACAAACTCCTGTAATTTGGACTATCGTTCGCCAAATTGCTTAGTCACTTCAAGTTCTATTTTTCTGGCTACCTCATTTCTTTTCTTCAGTAGCACAAATAGTTTCAAAATAAATCCGTTCTAGTGATTATAGTCCATTACAGTCGATCACTGATTACTTCGATGGCCCTTGAAAAATATAATACGTGAAGCTCTCAAGGCAAACTGGAGCATGAACGGCTTTGGAAAATCTTGATGTACTAAGCCACAAAAAAGCTATTGTATTTGTAGAAACCTTTCGCATTTTCAGAATAACGTCTTTATGACAAACTTTAATTTTCTACCAGTGGATATCCAAAGGCAAGTTATTGAGTTGCCAAAGCTCCTCAAGGACTCGATAAAATTTGTTTGGAAATTATTAGTCATCAAGCTAATTGAAATGGTAGTTTCCTAAAAAATAACTTAAAGATTATTGAGCGAGCAAAGATTTCAAAAAATATTTTTCGTTTCTTTCTTGGAATAATTTCTTGACATAATGACGATACTTAAAGAAGCATAACTTTAATGCAGTGACAAAATTTGACTTGACATCGCACAAAACTAATGAACCTCTTCTCTTCCTTTAACACATAAAGACCAGAGAAATTTTCATTTAAACAATGGTAGCAACAAAAATGTAAGAAACTTTAATTGGAATCAAGAAATCTACAACATTTTCGCTGTTCTCTACAAACATCTTTCAAAAAAATCTTTTTTCCAGTATCGCCACTTATCCAAAAACAATCCGACGCACTCCGACGCCCTAAGTTTTCTATAAACTGCATACAGGTTTCAAGGTAGACCTTGCCACCTCCATTATGATGATGAAAGTACGGAAAGGTCTTGGTATCTCTATTAATATATGTTGAGTTCGACAAACAATAATTGTCAAAGACTCCTTCGAGACGATCCGTGCACTGTATAAAATGGGCTTTGTTGTCTAAAACAATAGATTTGTCGATGGATAGTAAAAAGGCAATTGATGTCGACGCTTGGTCGTCTCGTTGTTCAGGTTTTAAAACTTTGTAGAACACTTCCCAATTTAAATCAACAAATTCCTTCACTTTTTTCCACCTCCCAATGAAGCCACCACCATTAGGAAACGCATATGGCCCTTCTCCAGATCGTTTGAAAGACTCGAGTTTCAGAGTATCGCAGAGTTTCTCGGCCTTAAAGCTCCACACCCACGGCCTCTCTTGAGTCTTCGGATCATATAAATTTAATGAAATATTAGAGAAAGGGTTATAAGAAAAAGGCCAGCAATTTTTTTCGGCTCCTAAAAACAAGTCCTTGTCCGTATTGGCAAAGTCTTTTCTAAGCCCACTCGTTTCTCTCATATAGAAAGCGTCTCTACCATCAAGAAACACCACTATGTCGTTGTCTTCCAGTAGTGTATTGTTTTCTGTGCCTATCAAATGAAGAGCTACCTGCTGAAGTTCACAAAAAGAAAACTAGGGAAACGAGTACATACTAGTTTGCGAGTCTTTCTGTCAGTTTCCTTGGAATATCGACTTGGATCTTCTAATCCATAAACCCTTGAGTACTCTTTGCCATTACTGAATGAAAAAGAGAGAGTGCTTGTGCGCAAAGACCCTCGGTTACCTCGTCATCATATGAAAGAAAATGCAGTTGCTCCTCTTTTGTAATATAGTTATATTCAGTTAAAAACCTCTTTATAGAAATGTGAACCACAGCAGAAATCAGACAAAAAAATATTAGACTTGCTGCTATATACGATACATATAGGGAAGCCATATCACCCAACCTTCTGTTTATTGAAATGACCGCGAAGAGCTGGCCGATCACGTGAAGGTCCCTGAGAGGAATTGAGTAGGGAAGAGGAAGCTGGGTGGCCGCTTTATGGAGGGCCGGACGAGGTTTGGTTTCCATGATGGAATAATGATGGGTTCGCAATGAGTTGCATACATCCTTCTTTTGGTAAAAATAGTGAACTCATCATAACGTAACTTTGTGTGTTGATAAATCCTAGAAATAAGCTTTCAATAATTGTATGTGGCCTTTTGTGGTAAACAACATTCTTCTTTTCAGCAACGTAACTTTTTTATGCATAATCCGCAGAAAATGCATTCGAAAAGGAGAGTGTGTGTTTTGGTAGACCTGCTTCACATACAGTTTGACTTTCTCTTTTCTCTTGTCGATAAAATGTGGCTATCAACATGAAGAAGTCAAATACCAATTGAGGCTTTTTGCTCAAGACAAATCTGTGTTTTCACTATGTTCCAAGTATTTATTCAGTGTTCTCTTCTCGAATCAAAGTAATTGGCTCTTTCCTTTTATGGCAAATGAACGGAAATGGAGTATATAATCTGCTTAGTCAGGTACAGTTGATATATGCAAGAACTCAAAGAATCACTTGATAAGCTCGAATGTGGCTACTGAGATATATTTTTGCAGAATAAAACGGTCTCATCCATTCAAGAAGAGTCGTGCTTGATTCTCAACAGACCCTCATAGTGACTTTGAAGTTTTGACAAAAAATTTTTCTTGGATGATTTATTCACAAGAAAGATTTGTGCGAATGTGGAATAATAATAAGAGGATTAAATAATAGCTGAAGTTACTAATTTTGGATACAAGAAAAGATTTGTCGTTCTGTCAATCCAGAAAAGGGATTGGACCGGTTGTGAATACTAGATGAGACCTGTGCAATTTGAACAAAAGAGCGATCAGGAAATAAGATGAATTGCACACTGTCATGCGAACGTAATTCACAAGGAGTGAGTTTCCTTTACAACTTGCAATTGTCCAATTTTGCTCGATATTGTAGTCAAGTGAGAAAATTCAGTATCCATGTTTCTCAAGCCTATTCAACTCTAGATTCGAAGATCGTATGTGGTCAACCTCCAACAAAAATATTATCATGCTTTTAGATCTTTTCCTCACAATATCGTACAAAACTGTCACAGTAATGCGTACAATTCAGTTTGGATACTCAACTGAGAAGTTTCAACCTGTGTTGCAGGCTGTGTTCAAACTCTAATAATGCTCATCATAACTTTCATTTAATTTTACAACTATTGCTAATATACTTCGCGAGAGCTTTCCAAACAGTAAAATACGAAAACGTCCCACCAGTGACTAATTGACAGCTCCTGTCTATAGTACAGTTGTCACTAAAGACACAAAAGAAAGTTTGCAGTATAGTAGGAACTCTTCTAGAAATAAATACACAAGTATCTTCAAACTCCTTTTCTATATAGCTTTGGAACAACTAGAGTCAACAACAAGACAAGTTTGCAACGGCGTCGTCCTTGACAAACAAATTCCAACTATTGAAGCAAAGCGTGCTTTGACTCTTTTGCCAATCCACTACAGAGAGCGGGGTTCATCCACTCTTTCTTTTCAAATTTTTCTTCTAACAATTTTGTCAATATCGTCTTTCGAGTGGCACTGAGCATCGTCAACTTGAATACTGTCATATATAACAGGATGGAGAAGTGACCTTGACTTAAAAAGAGCTCGTAATATTTTATGTGTATATTTAGGCTTACGTAAAGAATCTGCAGGCGTTCAACAATCAGTATTTCACAATTTATCTACTTGGTGCGAAAGGAAGGATACACTACTACTTCCAGTTAGACCCAAATCCCCCAATCATTAATCACCAGATCGTAGTTTGCCGAACAAGACTAACTTTCGTTACTTAGTGAGAAAAAGACAACTCTAGAAATATTGGAAGATCAAGAATACTTAAATTTGCATTGTACAGTAAAGAAAAGAGATTTTCGAAGTTTCCGTGCAAGGAAAAGTAAAAGTGTTGCAGCTTTCTTGACTACAACTTTCAGAACGGTCTATTGATTCGTCATCGATGCGATAGAAACACAGACCGTTGTAACTTTTGGTACTCAATCCTTCTTCCCGTAAGCAAATTATGTATATATATATCGATGAAAGAATTCACGAATTTTGGTCAGTTTCTGTTGAAGCCCTGCCTTCTGTATACTTTCCTATTCTACAACTGGGTACACCATTACTTCTTCGCGATTCATCAGCCCAAAAGGACGGCTCCTTGACCTTCATTTATACATAAGAAAAGGTTACAGTTCTCATACCACAAGTTAAACGAGTTACTCCCATTGAAAGTTGGAAAATGATCTTTGCACTTTGAAGCAGTTTTCCGAGGTTTTTCAAGGCCAAAGGAAGACTCTCGGATTGAGAACAAGTCAAAAGCTAGTTCTAGCAAAACCCGTTTTTGGTTTGCTATCGAAATTGGGTTCCAGTAAGTTTGAAATTTACCTTGTAAAGATAGTTTTGGTCAAACTCAGCTCTGTTAAAAGCTATAGTGTTGCTAGTGAGTCGAAGGAAGCTTCTTACAACAAAGTCTTTCTTCTTTTACAAAATTACGTGTGGTGTTAGATTGATTGTATCGAGGCCATTAACTGTCTCAGTAGCTTTGTATATGTCTCCAATTGAATACTTTTTTTAAAACTCACCAGACATAAAAGATAGTATATCTCCGGTAAAACGAGAAAGTTACATAACAACCCCTCACCGTCGTTGGTTGAAAGTGAGAATGATTTATGGCTGACTAAAACTCCGTAAAGGTTTGATATTGTATCATTCTCCTTCAGTTGTTTCTCGTTGAATTCGCTAAAGTATATTGTAAAGTCACAAAATCGGCTAAGTTCGTTGATCGTTAAATACAATTTTTTCTAAAATTGTTGCAGAAGATAGTCGACTGCTCCCAAACTATCGAACTTCTTTACAATCTTTGCAACCAGCTGAACGGCACTCTCGTATTTTGCTTTTTGATGATAAGAGTCGAAAAATATTTTGTTCTATAATGTGCTTTTCAAAACAATTACTCGGTAATATGGAAGGATAATTGAGAATACGCCAATAATAAC